GGTAGGCTAATGAAGAACACAAGGCATTTCATTTGAAAACATCGCCACATTATGAAATTAAAACATTATAAGATTTAGAATCAGAAAGGATAATTTTATAGATGAAGAAACTGAAGCCTAAAGAGATTGAGTGAATTGCCTAAAGAGACAAAACTTGAAACTAGGTCTGCTGGTTCCAAATCCTGTGTTTTTTCCCATTACACTAGGCTGACTCAATTCACATATCCTTTCTTTAGTTTTATAAATTTAGCCATTCTACCCCTTTTTTTTTTAACTCAGAAAGGAGTAACATTGGCTTTACATAAAACTGCCATATTCCTAGAATCATGCATGATATAGCTTTAAGTAGAAGGGGGGAAAATGGAGATCTATTTTTTGAGTTACTCATTTTGCTACATTTTCATTTTCTTATCACTATTGTAACTGCTCTGGCAACTAAACAGAGAAGCTGAGTGATACGTTCTAAAATGCTGCACATTTCTGGTGGAAATTTTCAGATATAACTTTTTTTTCTTTTACTTCAAAGTAACTACCTAGCCTATGCTGAAGTACAGAAATGAACACAATTCTTGGTTTAGCAGATAAAGTTACCATGGAACTAAACAATCAGGAGAAGTAAATATTGGATAGGATTTTTTTTAAGAGATCTTCTTTAGCTCTCCTATATGTGGAGAAAATATTTTAAAGGCGTCTAATATCTTTCAAAAAACAAAATTTAAGGTATCTCATGGGTTTTATTATATTAGATATTTAGAGAGAGTTTCTAAGTTTCTCTTTACATAAAATGTTGGTACAACAAACACTTTTTCATGATTTTGTGAGGAGATGCTATGGGTTAGACTTATACCAAAAAGAAAGAGGAAGAGGTTCTTTATACACATAAATATTTATAGTAGCTCTTTTTGTAGTGGAAAAAATGGAAATTATGGATATACCAACTGATTGAGGAATCATTGATTAATTAGGGGTATATGAATGTGATGGAATACTATTGTACTTAGAAGAAATGATTAAATGGATGATGTCAAAAAGACATGGAAAGCCTTATATAAACTGATGTAGAGTGAAGTAAGCAGGAGAACAATTTATAACATCTATGTTATAAAAATCAGCAATTTGGAGAATTTATAAAATGAACAGATATGGAACAATTTATACAATAATAAGCACAAAATAAACAATTTTTAAAGTTGTAAGAACTATAATCAATGCAGGAATGATTCATGATTTCAGAAGATAGATGATGAAACATGTTATTCATGACAGAGACGTGATGGATTCAGGGTGCAGAACGTAATACCACCATTGAAGGAATTTGTTTTTCTTGACTATGCAGATGTTGTAAGAAATTTTTTCCCTCCCTCCTAGGAGATTGGAAGGGAGGAAGGGAGAGAAAATAGATTTGTGTTCATTAAAAAAAAACAGGTATATGTGCGTGGGTGGGGGATGCAGCAACTAAGAAAATGGCACATGTATATTCACATAAGATCATGTATTATTCATTTTGTTTAGATGTTTTACTATAAGAGACTTTTCATGAAATGGAAGAAATATATAATATTTATAATATAAAAGCAAAACATCAATAAAACTTTAAAAATTGTACTTTGCTCACAGCAATATGAAGTCGTTATTGCAAACACTATCTCGATTCTACGGATGGGGAAACAAGGTCAGGGAGGTTGTGTCTTACTTATTCTGAAACAGCTAGTAATGGACAGAGCCAATGCTTAAATACATGTCATTGGACCAGAGATATAGCCTAGAGGGGAGTAGTGTTAGGATTGGTGCAAGAAACACAAACTGATTATGAGACAACCAATAAAACACAGACCTTAAAAAAAGGGAAATGGATTGGTAGGGGCTAGAGATCCCGAAATACTACTACTGGAGGGGCTGATTCAGTGAGGGGAGAAGGTAGGTAGGTTCATATTTTAACTAAAAATCCTCTTAACTATATATTAAGCTCTAATGTTTCTACTCAGCTGAGAGCCTCCAAGTGCTTCTAGTGTTTATATAAATTCATTACCCTGGTATAAAATCTCTTCCTCCTTGTCCTAATTACACAACTCTGCTTTTGATTTTCAGCTTGTCATTTCTACTACTCCACACAAGCTTAATATTTTATCTTCTATTTATTTCTTATAAAAATAGTTTCAGTTTTTTCTAGAAAATAGAGTGTATTTTCACTTGCCTTTCACATTAGACTTGTTTTTATCAATATAAACTCTTCCTGAGTTTTAGAAGGATTTAGCCTATAATACCAATTACCTGATATTACAGATAATTACAATCTTTGCTCTAAATAGCCAGAGACATGAACATATAGACAGAGAGATGGACAGACATACATACTAAATTTTAAATTTACACAATGTTTATATACATTTTGTAACTTTATTTTCAAAATACTCCAATGAGGCATAGTAGGTAGAGCAAGCATTACTAACCCATTTTTACAAATGAAAAATTGAAGCTGTGGGATCTTTCCTATCACAACTATATATATATATATATATATATATATATATATATATATATATATATATATATATATATATGTACATATATATATAGCTATATAGTTATACATGTATGTGTATATATGTGTGTATACGTATATGTGTATATATGTATATATGACTTGAACATCAACCTATGTCTTCTAATTCCAAATTCAGTCCTCTTTGTTCTTAACCAGAATGCCTCTCACTTATAAGCAAAATAAAATGTAGAAATGTAAAGAAGATAAAAATATTAGAAATGCTAAAAAATTATGCTGTTGAGGAAATATACTCTGTATTAACCCTTCATACTTTTCAAAAATATCCCATCTAAATGAATTCACAGAAATTTCTATACATGAATCATCAATACAGATTAAATTTGACATGACAAATCTTTTTATCATTACTTTTTAACAAATATTTATCTGTGGGAGTAATTATTTTAGGTAAAGTCTTTTTCCACATTCCCATATGTAGATATGGTAGGCATAACTACAAGGTAAGAAACCAAGAAGTCTACGTGCCAAATTACACATCATTTAGACACTTTCTCAATCTCCCTGCAAAAAGTTTAGATATAGAAGAAATTGAATTGAACTTGAAGCAAAGCAAACTTTTGATGAGTATTTCTAGTATGTTTAGAATTTTAAAGTATATAGCATAGACTACTATCCTACTAATTTTTTTTACAAATTAACTCATTATAATCCCCAAATATGAAAACAGAAGAATTATGTAAGTAGGATTCTTCATTAAAAAGAGACTGTATTATTCCTATACTCTGTAGCATGAAAATAAATGATACATCCAAAAATTAGACAAAAGAATATATGCCCCAGAGAAAAACATAAAAATAATTTAAGAGTTTCTACTGGAATTGCTGGAAAAAGACCAATATGTTTTAAAGCTGGAAAACATACTGCTGATTTCCTTTGTGAGCTGTAGAGAGTTTCAGAAGATTGCAGTAATTATTTGTAAAGCAAAGTGGATTTTGACATTCACTGTTGAAATTTTCAACAGTATTTAAAAGACATTCAAAATTGAAACAAAATTATGAAAGCCTAAATTATATGCCTCTGGGAGATGACAAATAACATATCTTAAAAGAAAAAAAAATTCCATCTAATCAATTCATCCTCTTATGAAAGCAAGTAAAGGAACAGCTTTTATTATCTAAAATTGATCATGGACCCAAATGCTCAGTATTTTGCTTTCTGCTATTTCCCACCAAAAGGTAAAATGAAGAAATACCTATACAAAGGTTATAAAGAACATATATACAATAATATCTTAGCATTATTATCACTGTCCACACATGTCCAGAAATGCAAAGTATATTTCAACATATACATTTATGAATATAGTTTCTATTTACATGCAGCTATATAAACTTTGTTTCCTATGAAGTATGTTCTCTTTGAACCATAGCAGGCTGTTTTTTAATATAAACTGGAGCAAAATCTTTGTATTCCAGCATGCAAATGTTAAGTCTTTAAGTATTATATATTATTATAACTAATAATTATGATAAAAATAATAATAACAGTTTATGTGCATACAGTGGCATAAGATTCAAAAATTATTTTACATATATTACTTATATTACAATCTATGATTCATTGAATCATAGAACTCAGAACCAAAAGGACATTACAGATTACCCAATCCCTTCTCACCTTGCATAGGAAAAGAAGAAATTGAGTTTCATAGAAATTGCAGCTTACCCCAAACCACATATGTAGTAAGTAGAAAAGCCCAGATTTGAACTTCGATCATTAAACTCAGAATCCAGCACCCTTTCTAACTACATCATCCTGCTATGTTTTCAATATGAACAGATGTCAATAATATGTCCTCTTTGATTTTTACTAATTTTCTATTCACATTTCCATTTGACATCTTTCTATTTGCTGAAGCAGCCTAATGGCTACAAAGATAGTATCCTTTTCAAGAACATCCCTATTTTTTAGAGTAGTGAAAAACATCAAAGTCCCAAAGTACTATTCTGGCTATTTCTACCCAATGCACCTAACAAAGCTTTGAGGAGTTAAAATTTGATCAATTAACTCTTAATTTTATAAAAGGGCATCAACCAATTTGACTGATATTTTCATTGAACTAACCAGCTGTTTGGGTGATTTCTACTTAAAAAGAGGCTGTTACCAGTTAGATTCTCATAAACTAAAAGAGGAATGTAGGACCTAAGGTCAAGTTGGCTTCTTTTATAGAACACATTGCATAATATTCTAAGTCCAAAGACAGCAAATGCTATTTGATGATGATAATGGCTTAAACATGTGAACAATTACTAATGATCATGTTTTATGAATTGAAATGGTCAGAATCCTGATTCAGAGTTTGTATGTTTGCTCATTTCTCATAAACACTTAAGAAATATAACTCGAATCCATTTCTAGAAAGAAGTCCAAATGGATCCCATGTACTAATATTTTAATAAAATGGTAAATCATTGGTTCATTCATTTAGCTTTACCTGAAACTGTATGATCCTTAAGGTCTCTCGTTATTTTTATTCTTGCATGGGGGAAGATGTACTGTGTAGGCTTCCCGTTCATCTGAGGAATATAAGACATACATATTACAAAATGCATAATTCATTTGAGTAATACTTCCCCCCCCCCTTAGGCAATTGAGATTAAGTGACTTGCCTAGGGTCACACAGCTAGTAAGTGTCAAGTGTTTGGTCTGAGGCTGGATTTGAACTCAGGTCCTCCTGAATTCAAGGCCAGTGCTCTCTCCACTGCGCCACCTACCTGCCCCAAAAGTCTTAGAGCAGTTTTTTTTTAAACAATTGGGGTTAAGTGACCTGCCCAGGGTCACACAGCTAGTAAGTGGCAAGTATTTGGTCTGAGGTCGGATTTGAACTCAGGTCCTCCCAACTTCAGGGCCAGTGCTCTATCCAGTGCACCACCTAGCTGCCCTGGAGCAATACTTTCATACACACATATTGTGTGTGGATGTATGTATTCTTGGTTAATTTCGAAACATCTTTCATAAGTCAGTAGAAAATGTATTAGAAGGTTTGAGGCACAGCTTTGCAAATTACTCACACGACAATAGTTTTTACTAATTTTTGTAATGATATTTTGTATTGTTTTTAAGTATATAACTTTTCCTTATACTCTGCCCTCCTTAAATAACACCTAATTGTGATAGATTAACATATTTTCCTGAGATAACATTGGTTTATAACTGACTTACATAACTATTATGACATTGAGTTGAAAGAAGAAATGATTGCAAAGCTTTAACTTGTCTACTTTTGGTCTGGAAAGATGGGAAAGTGAGATGTTCAGGCAAATTTTCTTAATTTTCAAAGGCAGGAAGTAGGATAAATTGGGCTTCTGCTACTACCTACCTACTAATAAGTATATTCAGATTATTTTTCTGTACCGACTTCTTTTCTGTGTTCTACATCAGCATATCAGGGCTAGATGAAACAAAGTTGGAAGTGGTAGCTGTCACACTAAATCACAGAGCCAGGATACAAAAAGTTCTTGACAAGCTGCTAGAATATTTGGTTCACTTTAATAAGATAAAACTCAACAACCGCATATCAAGCCACACAAGAGTTCAAAAAATCAACTTCTCAAGTACCTTATCAGAGAGGCACAATTAGATGTAAGTGTGTCAAAAAAAGGGCTGTCGGTTTTAGCTGATTGGAAGATCAATGAGCCAACATAACGTCATGACCCCCAAAAGAAGTAAACATAACCTTGGGCTGCAAAAAGAGAGACCTCCAAGAATCAGAAGGTTATGGTTTCAAATAGCATTCTGTTCTTAGTGTCACTGTCTTAGAAGAAAATTGATGTCAGAGAATTTTTAGAGAATGACAAGCAGGAGGGTAAAAGGCCCAGAATCCCTGTCATATAAAGAACTTTCTAAGGCAATGGGGATCTTTAGCCTGAAGTAGAGAAGACTGGCAGAAGAAGGATAGATAATAGCTATCTTCAAATATTTGAAGATATGGAAGAGGTATTAGACTCATTCTTATTGACAACAAAGAACAGAACCAGAAGCAATGGGCAGAATTTTCAAAGGGACAAATTTAGCCTTGAGGCACAATTTGGGATACTGAAATGTGAAATGGGCTGCCTTAGAGACTGTGGGTTTTCCTCATGGAGGTTTTCAAATAGAAACTGAATAGCCACTTATTAGATATTATGGAATTACAGGATCATGTTGTAGTGAAGATTCTTTTCTTTTCTTTTTTTTGGAGGGAGAAGAAGGGCAGGGGTTGGATCACATAGCCACTGAGGTCTCTTCCCACTCTGAAAAAATTCTACGGTTTTGTGAAGACTCACAGGTCATCTCTTTGTGGATGTCCTACTTGCTCCTCAAGGTCAGTATGTCCTGAACTGAAGTGATTATCTTTTCAGTTATCTTTGACATTTCTTTTTTCTCTCTTGTCTCAACTCCAATCTATTACCAAGTCCTATCATCATCACCTCAAAAACATTGCAAAATCAATTCCCTTTACTGCCATGACAGTAAAGGCTCTCATTACATGTTATCTGGATCATTATAGTAGACTTCTAAGTCTTCTCATGAATAATCTTCTCATCTGTTCTTCATACCACATTCACAATCTGCTTGGTACAAAGATACTATTTCACTTGTCTGCTAAAAAATCTCTACATATCCATTTTTGGTTTAGTAGGGTTCCAGGATTTGTTGTTTAGTTGTTTCAGTTGTGTCCAACTCTTTGTGACCCCATTTGGGTTTGTTTTGGCAAAGATACTCAAGGGATTTGCCATTTCCTTCTCAAGCTCATTTTATAGATGAGGAAACTGAGGCAAACAGGGTTAAGCGACTTGCCCAAGGTCACAAACCTAGTGTCTGAGGCCAGATTTGAACACATGAAGATGAGTTTTCTTGATTCCATATTCAGTCCTCTATCCACTGTGCCACCTAGCTTCCCCACAAGGCAGGGTTAGATTGAATTAATTACAATATAAACTTTGACTATAAATTGAAAATTTTGGAGAACCAAGCCATCTACAGAGAGTCCTTCTATATAGACTTTACACAAGGCATCTTTCCTTGATACTGGTGAATACCTTACATGAATCTATATCTGCTGGATGTTGACAATGATCATGATAATTGCTGCTCCCAGTAATCACACATATCATTGATGATATATCATACATAGGTCTACTGCTGGACGGAGCCATCTCAGAGGCCATCTAGATAACTGCTTAAGTTTACAGATAAAAAAAGAAACAAACTGAAGGCCAGATAGGATTAGAACACCTATCTTCTATCTTCAGAGCCAGGGCTCTTTCCACTGTACCTTTTCTATGCTTTTTGAGCAGAGACTTCAAGCTTGAATTCTGTTCCACTCACTCAAGTATTAAAAGCAAACTGAAACAATAACACAGGGAGATCTTATTGTACAATTTTAAGCATAAATACAAATATTTGATCTGCTATAGAAAATCAACTTCAAAATCCTGCTTGTTTTTTTCCCTAATATTTTCATCAGAAATGCCCTCAAATTACATGTGAACTATTTTGATAACGACTTCTTAGAGAAGAGAAAGAAAGCTTACCTCATCACCACCTCCAACCTGGTTATAGCTCTGTTGGAGACAAAGAAAATGGACCTATTTTCAGTTACTTTATTTTTTTTTGTTGTTGATAAAAAGCACTATCTATAATCTTTTCCATTCTTTTGTAATCATCCTCTCTTTGAGATATCTTTTTAAAAAAAATCAGTCCCTGACTCTCATTAAAGTAATGTCACTTCCAGCACAACCAGGGCTAGCATTCTTCCTAAATTCATCTTCTTAGGTGTCATTGTCACTTCTTTACCTTAGTACATTGGGTACTCAGGTGGTATAGTAGAGATGGGATGGTTCCATTATTGTCTCTGATCAGCATAGTTCACTGTATAACTACTGCCAAATACATTAGATTTCATGTTTGTTGTTCTCCTTGTGGCTTCTTTTATAAACACTTTGAAGATGATGACCTGGCTTAGCTGAATTGAGTACCAATCTCTCAGACAACTCACTTTATCCTCAATTGTTCTTCACTGTCTGCTTACAGTTTTCCATCATTTGTTATGTATTAAAAATGAGCTGACACTGGTATTGCTCATCTCCCATGTGTCTCTTCTTGTTGAGGGAATTAAGCATGTGATTGCTGTGCTAGTTTCTGGATACTTTCTGTTTGTTTTGATAATTTCTGCATGTTCAAATTCTTTTTTTAAAAATCATTACTTTTATCCATTTCACCTTTTTCAAGTTGAAAACTTATTTAAACTGTTGGAACATGCTCTATATTTTAAGATACAAGTCAATTTCACTGTTACATTTTGTCATAACTAGTAGCATCAGATGATATTCTCTTAAAAAAGTTTTATTGAAATCATTTGTTTTTACATCACAATTATTTCCAAATATAGTCCTCTACCTTCTTTTACACAGTGATCTTTCTCTTGTAACAAATAGCAGCTCTTTTATTGTTATCATAATTTATATTTCTGTAATTGTGTGTATTTCCCCCTATTTTATTTCACTCTGCATTAGTTCATATAAGTCTTCTCATGTTTCACTGAATTTGTCACTTCATCATTTCATGTGGTTTCTTATTCTACTCTTGAAAAAACAAATGCTCGTGATCTATAGACATGAGACATAATTAATCTAGTTAATATTTTTTATTTTGTTTTTAATCTCAAATCCTATTTTCCAATATAATTTCCATTATCCTTGCCTTTTCTCATTTTCATAGGAAAGTCATTACATTTCATTGTTTATGAAGGCTTAATTTGGAGGTTTGTGTCAAGCTCTTCATCCAATTTCTCTGCTTCATCCTCTATAACGCATGTTGGCACATAAGCTATAATTATCTTTCTAGTAGCAGATATGCTTAAACTTATCATGATCACTGAAAGACAAGATGACCCATGAATTGATGTTCTGTATTGCTACTGGGCATAAAGTAAAACCAGCTCTATTTTTTTCTTTTTAAAAAAAAGCTTGTGAGTCACTCATATATTAGGATTCTTTATAAATTCTCATTTAACTTATAGTGAAACATCATAGTGAATCTATCTCTATGTATGTGACTCATTTTTCACCAGTTTTATATAAAATTTGATTGTTGGACAATAATCCCAGGTTAAAATAACTAATAATTAATGATTTTAGAAAATAATAATAGCTAACCTTTACATAGTACTTTAAGGTTTGCAAAGAACTTTCCATATATGATCTCATATGATAGCTACAAAACATTTGTAAATTAGATACTATTATTATCTCCCACTTAATAGATGGGTGAAACAGGCTGAGAGAAGTTCAAATGTCTTGCACACCAAGGTCATAATACCAATAAAGCAGTTTTAAAATTCAGGTATTCCTGATTCCAAAGCCACTAATTATCTACTATACTGATCAGCTGTCTCTTTAGAAAATCTAAGAGCTATGTGATTCTTATTACATTATACCCTATACCTATTTTACCATATTAGTTCTGATATTATGAATAGGTTATTATATAAGAATAAAGGTAATTTTGTTTCTTTTTATTTTTTTTAAATAAATGTTGTGGGTCAAACAGGACAATCCTTCCTTGCCACTCTGCCGTGGTTATCCTTATGGAGGTAAATCTCTCAATTTTAAGCTCAGATAATCCTAGGACAGGAGAATACATAGTATATTAACAGACTTATACTCAAAATCTCATTCTTGTGAAAATCAAACAGAGTTTCGAAATGCTGAAATAGCATAGCCTTTGAGAATCCAATCACCTTTGGATATGATGAGGTATCTAGAAAACTTATTTCTAAATAATAAAGCATATGCCTTGATTGTACTGCAGCCTTCTTTTAATATTGGACATACCCTCAGGGAATTTTCTGAAGTTTCATAGATCCTGGCATTTTACTCATTTTACTGGAAAAAGATTCACCAAAACTGTATGCTAATACATGAATCCTTTATTCATTCAACTCATGTTAAAAAAATGTATTATTAATAGTGTTATCCATTATACAGTGTAGATTTTTTAAAGGTAGAATTAGAAACCCATAAACCTTTTGTTATAACACTGTGCAATTTCAATTCTCATTTCTGACAGATTTGAACATAAGAACTGAATTGATTGTTCCATCTCTTGGCCAAATGAGTTACCAAAACAAAAATAAGTAAAATAAATAATGCAAACTTTTGTACTATATTTAATAGAGCTTTGTTCTCTTAACAGCTTAGTGGAATAGAAAGAGATATGAATATGACACTTATTTTTTTTAAACTGATTTATCAATATACACAGTTCTCTTTAAATAGTATTTTTGGGGTTTCCCATTAGAATGATTTGTGTTTTTAAAATAACTACTATAATTACATTTTACTGACCATCAAAATTATATTTAAGTACACTGTAAATGCCAAATATTTATACCTTAGATCAAGGGGTAGATACCTAGACCAGCATGATTCCCAAGTCAAACAAGAACTGAATCACTCAGGGTGAGGCCTCAGGAAAATCATGTGAACCAATTGTGCTTAAGTGAATTGATTCCAATCTGAAAGTTGATTACAAACTGGATATTAAATCTGAAATTAAGTGTTAGGAAAAAAGGAATATAGTTTGTTGCCTATGTTCCATTTAAGGAAAGAGCTGGCTTAAATAGTTCTCTAAAGACAATGAAACAGAGAAAACAACATCAACAATAAAGTTTTGGATCCAGGAGTACTAGATGAAGTCTGAATGGCTCAACATGACATTTGATTGCATAATTAACAGATGTCAGCTAATCAAAATGATTCAGACTAAATCATTCAGTCATTGCCATGGTTAATGTTCAAATTACAAACTTTTTTGTTAGCTAAATTATCCACATTGACATACATCGTTGAGTGGATTACAGTTCACTTTGTTAAGGCAGACCTGTTAATTGGAAGCCAACTGTGGAAGCCATTTCATTTCATATATCTCCTAATCTCATTTAATTTAATAAAAGTTATTTGGGAAAATATGAGATTAAGAAAACTAGGAAGAAATATTATAGAATAATAAAAATGTATCACTCAAAATAGTGCTGAAAGTTTTAATTCAATATCTATTTGTGGAATGGAGGATCATGATCTTGGGTTTTAGACTACCAATCATTGCCAAGCACTGGACTGTGCCAGCGGAGCATCAATTTTGATGTGTCCTGGTAAGATCAACTTTCTATTATGCCCCTTGCTTTATACTAGAGGTAGGTCAAACAGTCTAGCTTTGGGCAGGAACCTTCTAAAAACATCAGCCATAATTAACTATTAAAGCATGGAGAGTTGGATTAAGAGCCAGAAGACATGAGCTCAGTTCCAGTTCTGCAACTTTTTAGCTCTGTGACTTTGAAAAATGAAAAGATCAGAAAATTTAGCACAGTATGGCAAGGGCTAGGGAGACAGTAATCATCTAAAATAATCTTATTTTTTAAGTGAGGAAGCTGAGTGCCATAGAGGTAAAGCAATTTGTCTAAAGTAATACGGACAAGTGGTGAATCCACTATCTTGGACACAAATCCTGTTCTTTCTACTGCCAAAACCTGCTCAAGTAACTCATCCTCCCTAGGCCACAGCTTCCCTAAAATACAACACACAAACATGAATGTATTTTACATGCACACATATGTAACTAGTATACACATAAACACTCAATACATATATATAAATACATACTATATATGCATGTGTGTATACTAGATCTACCTATCACATATAACTACTTCAAGGATGTACAATTTTAAAGTATAAAATACAACTAATACGTGAGTTATTATTATTATCATACTGTCTTCTTTCCTTTGCCATTGCTTAGTATTTCCCTTCTAGTTTTAGGATAATAGGATTTAGTTATAGAAGTGATGATTCAATTAGGCTGAGTGGCTCAGCGCTGTTAATATCACTGATACCATCATGCTATTCAGGAGGCATGGAAAAGATTTTGTAGACAAAGGGCCTGAGATGTAGGGAAATTAAATAACTTGCCCAAGGTCCTATACATGAGCTGGAAGCAATTCTATTGATTCAGTATTCCAATTATTTCCATTACAATGGAGTTATAGAATATATTGTTATTAGTGTTGTTCAGTCGTTTCAGTGGTGTCTGACTCCTTGTGACTTCATTTGGGATTTTCTTGGCAAAGATACTGGTGTGGTTTGCCATTCCCTTCAACTGATTTTATAGATGAGGAAACTGAGGCCAACATGCAACTTACCCAGGGTTACAGAACTACTTAGTATCTGAGGATGGATTTGAACTCAGGAAGATGAGTCATCCTGACTCCAGGCCCAACAGTGATTTGTTTTTATAGCTAATATGCCTACTAAATTTATGTAATAGTATATTAATATAATTCACTTCTTATACATTAACTTTAAGGTAAAACTACTTTATTTTCTTTTAAAAGATCTATTAAGGTTTTGAAAGAATACATTTTTTCTAATTTCTTTTAATTTCCTGACATTTCATAAACAAATCTTAGTGATGCAGCAACTTTGAAATAGGAATATTTGTGTTTATTTGCAGCAGGAGATCAATATTTCTCTTTAGCATTTAAGGGATAAAAAAAGAATGAAATTGAGGATGATATTATATTCTTCCCTCCTGCACAGAATGTTAGTATATTAACAAAATTTAAGAAAATTTTTGAAAAAATTATGTTAGTACAAAGGAATACTGCTAATAAAAATTAAATTGTATTCCATTATATTTTTCCCTCATAAGATATTTCAGCAGAATACAAGAATCTAGTGAATTCAATTTGTATCACATAATATATTCTCTTTATGGAAATTTATTTAATGATTCTCCAAAACAAGATCTATTTTAATCTTGCCATTAACTTGCTAATGAGTTACATTTTCTCAAAAACTATCACAAATTCTCTATTCATTAGAACAGAATTTATATATATGAATACCAACTGTAATTTAAGATTTCTCTCAATAAATATGCTATGTCTATATTTATTAATAAAGCCTAGCATTTATATAATGTTTTAAGGTTTGCAAAAAAAAACTACTTATGTAAACTCACTTGATTCTTACAACTCTGTGAAATATGTGCTATTATTGTTACTATTTTACAGATAAGGAGACAGAGGCTGAGTTAAATGACTGACCAAGGGTCACAAACCTATCAAGTGTCTGAGAACAGATTTGAACTTTGTTCTTCTTGACTCCAAGTTCAATATTCTATCTACTGGGCCTCATCATTGCCTAACTAGTAAGAATGACACTGTTATACATTCAAAAGGAGATAGATCTACACAATTTATGGCAAAATGTAATCATACTGTCTTCCCACTTTATATTATGGGAGTGAATTAGAAAGCACTGTCCTGCAAAAAAAAAATTAATGTAGCTATATATATATATACAAATGTAAATACTATCTATGCAGGTTAATGTAATGTTCATATTATTAGACTATTTTAATTTTTGTTTTGTTTTTGTCTTTTGTTTTGTTTTTGTTTTGATTCCCTAGACAGGGATGTAAAAGACTTAAAGGAAAGGCTATATGCAAAAAAAAAAAAAAAAAAAAAAAAAACATGAATTCTATTACTGAATAATTTCTTAGAATTAAAAAAAAAACATAAGGATAAACTCATACTGACAAATCCATCATTCCGTTTGACATTACATGCAAACTGAAGTCAATTCAAATGCCTTTTAATTTATATGTTTAGACCTTATTCCTTAACTTTTGGCACAAAGAAATAAGGAAGAAATAAGGCCCAGAACTTAGATACTGCATAGTTTATGAACAAAAAAAATTAGAAAAATTAGAAAAAAATCACAGAGTTGTAGATGACTGAACAATAACAAAGAATAAATAACAGTGGTAAAGAATATGTAGATATAGGGGCAGCCAGGTGGCACAGTGGATAGAGAGCTGGCCCTGGAGTCAGGAGGACCTGAGTTCAAATCCAGCCTCAGAAACAAAACATTTACTAGCTATGTGACCCTGGGCAAGTCACTTAACCCCAATTGCCTCACCAAAAAAAAAAAAGTGGATAAATGAATGAAAATCATGGGTTTAGGTATCTTTGTTTTATACTTTTGTTACAATGAATGTTAAAAATGGATTATCATCAAGAAATACTGAAGAAACATGAAATAATTGAGTTTTTAGCCATCACATTCTTGTCTTTATCTGTCTGAAATCAATTTTAATTTGGAGCTTATGTGGACCTAAAGGTAGTATTGGATAATGATATTATGCAGGGGCCCATTTTAAAGGTAAGCAATAAATCAGGGCAAACTTCTTTTTTCTAATTGATGTAAAATAAGTTACTTCAATGAAATAATCTGGTATTGGAATTCTAGAATGATGTTTACTTATAAAATATATTATGTAATGGATATGTCATTGTCATGCAATGCACTATGATGCAATTGTCATTACCAATTGTGACTACATCATTTTAATTTGGGCAGGGTCACATGATGTCATTGCTTTTTTTTAACTAAGAATTACAAATGGTCAAATTGTGATTTCATTATAAAATTTCATTTTGTTTTAAGAAAATTGAGAGCATTTAGGGTAGAATTTGACCTTTTAAAATGATTTAAAAGTAATAATTGATGAAGTACTTACTTGTTCTTGATGTTGGCTGAGGGGTCTTGAATGAATCAGTCTTTCTGGCAGTTTCCGGTCAAGACCATGTCCATTTTCTAAGCGAGTTTCCCTGGGCTTGTCAAACCAATCTGTTTCCTCACGGCGTAGATGATAGGCTTTGGAAACCAAGGAAATGTCAAATGTTCCAACCCAGATGAATAAGTAGAAGAGAGGGCAAAAGATGACCCATAATACAAACATGCATTTTTAAAATTGTCATGCAATTAAAATATAATTTCCAGTGAAAGCAAGACAGGATTTTCAAAATACCACCACCAACAACAAAAACCACTAAAATAGTATATCCCTATGGAGTAATATAATATGAGAGGACCATGTCACAAACATGTTATATTTAAAAGTCTCTGCCAGATAATTTTATATACAGAGAAAATCTTAGAGAACATTTTAAGCATTCAGTTCAATGCAGTGATGGTTTGGGTGGTCTTAATATTTGGTAGACTTTTCTACATCCAAAGTAGAAACTTAAAATACAAAATAAGATGTTCACAAGTTAATTTTGTCTTCTTGAAATGTCATAGAGAAGTTTTTATGTTAATTTTATTCTCAATATAAGATTCTCACTAATCCTATACTGGTGAGGAGGAGGTTACCACTTTTCTTTTCCTGTATTACCATCTTTTCATTAATTTTTAAAAACTTTATAAAAGATAACATTTTGTTAATTGCATTTTCTATTCTTTTCTTTATGTTGTCAATTTAGAGTGCCAATTTTTTATGTGCTTTTAAATTATTAGTAAATGTGATGAATTGAAATTTTTGTCTTGCGTACAACTCTTTTTTATCTTATAAGAATTGCTCATTTTCAGGTTTTTACTTACAAATAGCCTAGTTTTTGGCAAACATGTATATTATCAGAACAATATGTATGTATTGTTATGTAGGTGGAATGGGGGTCTGATAGAATAAATTTCCTCTAATTATCCTGACTACATATCTCTGCCTCCCAAATAAATTAGATAGTAGCAACCTCCCACATTTGGTTTATTCTACTTTATACATTATATACTTTATACATTATAACTTTAATGCTGCCAGTGTAAGATAGATTCTAATACTTCCTCATATGTAGTCCAAATGTTAAGATTAACATATGATAATATGAACTATATATGTATGATACATTAATGAGGCACTGTTCTTGAGATGAAGTCAATGAATACTATACCAATGTCTCTAATACTATGGACAACAATATTTGTTTCACATTAAGATATAATTGTACTGTGAGTATAAAAAATATACCAACCACAAAACTTCTATCTTACTTTGAGAACTAGGTGGTTGCAATCGCAAGTAGGTTCAATTGTGTATTTCTAATTTATTTTGTATGTGTGTAGGTGTGTATTTTTTCCCTTTTCAAATATAATTATAAGTAATAGGGGGGTAAAAATGTCAAATAAGCAGGTCAATTTTAAATTTTTTTCATGTTTAAGCAGCTAATATAGCTACAAACATTTCCCTAAAGCTGGAAAAAGCAAAGCAATGATACTTATTTTCTCTCACAAATTAAGTGATCAGTTCTTGAATCACTGAGAAACCCTTGAAATTTTGATCTCTCTTACTTTGTTTTAATTTGACATTAATATAGCTAATTAATTCTATAAGATATTAATCAATTCAATAGTTTAAAAAAAGATATTCAAACCAGTCATTTTACTAAACTGGCTGATAAGTTTAACTGGTTCCCCTATGAAGACAAGTCAAGAATGTAAGGAAAAATTCTATACTCCATTGCAGAGTGGAGAGTGGGGAGGATGTCCTCCAAGGAAAAGAGATGAAATTTATACAATGATATGCAAACTGATAGTTAAAAATTGTTTGATGAAAATGGAAAAAAAAAACCCCAAACCTCAAGACATGAGGAGAGAAAAACAAAACAGAAATTGTTACATGATGAGGTCAAAAGTCTACGTGGTACTTACCTGCTGCCTCCCTCCCCACTACCAATAAATTTTATCAATTCGCTTGGACAACTGGTCAGTTCATTAAGAGAAAAATCAGTCATACCCTTTATAGGTATCACATTGACAAAAATAGCCCATGGACTGCTTTTTAAAATACTTTTTGCATATTTTGATATTATTTCCAATGGAAACATTTTTATATTACTATATATTTTAGCTTTCAAAAGGCAAGATTTTTATGTCTGTAACTTGTAAAAGTTATGTTTGGTTACTTATTAATTTTGTTATACACACTGAAGATATAGTGCAGACAGTTTAAAACAACCTTATATAATGAAATGTGATTACATGAATAATTTTTAAAGATTCTCTTAGTTTACAGAAATTGCTTCAGAGCTCTTATTTTTCTCATCAAATTTTTAAAATATTTTTCAGTTTAGCAAAAATGAATTTCTGCTTTATTATTCATTTTACCCTCAGAAATGTGAATACCCTTTCAATAGATGCTCCAGGAATAAATGAAAAACATAAAATAAGTATTTTAAAAAATAAAACAAATAATTGTATCTTGACTTAAAACGTTAAATTACTTGGAGAATATGTAATTTCCTAATGTGTTATTTCCTTAAAATATCCATGAAATGGTATAAGATATGAACTATTTTAAATAACATTGAAATAAATCTAAAATAGTCTATGATACTTTGAATGCTTTTGCAAGCAGAGTATTGATGAAGTGAAATTATATACCAGTGTTTCAATTTTTTAAAATACTATTTTGACTTTTGGCTTGATTCTCTTTTGTTTTTTTGGAGCAAAATAGCATGCCCTTTTTGCCCAAAGTGAGGCAAAAATAATAATTTTGCTATTTCAACAAGAGTAAATAATGGATAGAAAAGGCAAATTCTCATGTAAATCCTCAGAAAACTTTTTTTGTGGATTTACATTAACTTAATCTTTGCTCTAACGTTCAGCATATCACAGTCCTCAAGTTAAAAATTCACCAATGGTCTTTTTATCCTCATTCTTCTGTGACATCTGGTATTTTAAACCAAGGTTTCTCCTTTGCTTTTTGTGACACAACTAATGCTATTCTTTTCCTGGTCTATGGTCATTCCTTTGGTGTCTCATTTTTTGTTCCCCTTTTTAAAAAGCCACACCCAAATATGACCATACTCCAAAACCTCAGCCTTTGAATTTCTATTTTTTTTTTCTCTTATTCATACCCTCGGGCTTTGTTTCTCATAGTATCAACTATCTCCTTTATTCTAACTCTCAATTTGATTATACCTCTGGCCTCAACATCTCAGTTGAGCTCTCATACAATTCCTACTGCGTATAAATAAGACATCCTGTTTAGAATTCTTTAGTACCTTGAGTTTTACATGGGAAATTTAATCTTCCTTGATCCATCAGAAATCTTGAACACAAGCTAAGACAGCCAGCTGCAACTAAGAAGTTTTACAAAAGCACAACCACATCAGCATTCCATTTGGAATATCAGGTTGGCCTAACATCTTATTTCCTCTGGTAATAAGAGACTGTCTAACTAGCACCCCTCTCGTGATACTATTAACATACCCTTGTCCTATCTCCTAACATTATTTCTTTATAATCTGTTACCATCAATTTGGCTGCCCTAGTTTGAAACCCCATCAATTCTACTCTTTTGAAATCATAGTCCAATTTACTTCATCTCTAGCCTTTTTTTCTTTACTGCAACCTGTCCCACTAGTGTATTCTTTGATTGTGGTCAAACTCCTTTTTATCCTCAAATATTCCCCATTTCTTTCTACTTCTTAGATGAAATTTAGATTTCCTTGAAGTATAATAGTACAATGAAATGGGTGGCTTTTTCTCAATAAGTCCTCACATTCAACTTAGATCATTCCAAAAGGAAAGAAAGAATTACTGTCTTACTTCCCACTGCTACTACTATTTTAAAACTAATATTCCATTACCAACTTTTGTTTTTATGTTATAATGACTTCTTAATACATCCCCATGCTTTTCAAAACAACTGACCCATCATTAACTTTTGATGCAATCCATTAATTTGAATTTCCTGTAATCCATTAATATACCAACTTCTAAAATGCAATATTTTCTACCTCAGTGGTTTTGACATCTAGCTGACATTCATTTTTCTCCCTAGCCTATATTCTCCTATTATCTTCAGCAACTTCAACAACCAGCCTGACAACATTTCTGACACCTATCATTTACAATTCAATCATCTCCTTATCTAAATTTATTTTCATCTTTACCCTCACTTCACCCATTCATTAGCACGGTTACATGATGGATCACAAAAACAATTGAAACTTTTATACCTACAAATTCCTATTGTTTCTTAATTTCAACGCCCCTTGGACACATTCTTCTTTCCCCATTCTCACTGCCCCCATCACAGACAATGTTTTCCTCATCTCATATATAGATTACTACAAATCTTGTGGATCCTTACAGGACTCTTCTTATCTTTACTCATTCTGAAATTTAACTCATTTGTGCTGTATTTCCTAAAATATCACATTTGTCAAGAATTTATAATTTACTACCAAATCAAGCTGATACTCTTAGATAAGACTTGCAAACAGTTTCAGGATCTTGTCTCATCTAAATCATTCAATTTTATTTTTTACTAATGCTTCCTATAGATCTGCTGAATTCTACTCCATGGACCTTTACTTTTGTTGCTTTTCTTATTAGAAATGACCTGACTTGAAATCTATGAATATTTATCCCCTACTGAACTTACAAGGACGGTTTCAAATGTATATCCTTGGGGAAAACAAAAGACAAAGAAAAAAGTTTTCTTGGCTATTCCATTCTACACTAGTCTCTCCCTGGCTTCTCGAAATCCCTTTGCCATGTATCATCCATATGAGGAAGTCTGGCAATTTATTATGTTCTATCTTATTCTCTTGTTTCGTGGGTATCTGTTTTTCCTTCATAATAAGTTCATAAACTCCTTGCAGGCAAAGGTTATATCTTGTGCTTGCTTGGTATACTTCACAGTTACTGTACAGTTCTAAACACATAGTAGGCACAAGATTGTGTCTATCTTCTTGTAACTGTGGGGTGTCTACTTTCCTATAGCAACACATCTTTATTTTAAAACAAATAAATACAAATGTGTTGACAATTTATGGAATAATTTTTTACCCTTAGGTTCATAACACTTC